AAATAAATCTTTATTTTTTTATTTCGATCAATTTCCTTTTTTAATTCTTGATGCTCTATTAAAAAACAACGGTTAGCATTAAATTCAACATAATTTAATGGATCATTTTTTGAAAAAGCTGTATTATATTTACATTTAATAATATCAGTCTTTGAGCATTGTAGCCCAAGTTAAACGAAAAATATCGATTTTTAAACGATAATGTTCTTTCAGGAAATTCGTCTGAACATGTTTTCGATCTCTTGAAAATTCTATATGATAAAAGTTCAGTATTTACATTTTTTTTCCATTATAAATCTCTATAACTTTAATCGTTGAAATAATGTTTACGATTTTACTTCCATTTCTGCGCGCGCATAAATTTTATATCGTATTTTTTGTCAACAATGATTGAATTAATGACGTTGAAATAACGTTAAATAACCAACGTTTAAACTGTAACGTTGATTTAACGTTGAAATAACGTTAAATAATCAACGTTTAAACGGTAACGTTGATTTAACGTTGTGACATAGTTGAACAACGTTGAAACAACGCTTCAACCGAATTTCAACGTTGAAACAACGTAATAATGCCGGCTGGGATATATATACATATATATATATATATATATATATATATATATATATATATATATATATATATATATATATATATATATATATATATATATATATATATATATATATATATATATATATATATATGTATATATATATATATATATATATATATATATATGTATATATATATATATATATGTATATATATATATATATATATATATATATATATATATATATATATATATATATATATATATATGTATATATATATATATATATATATATATATATATATATATATATATATATATATATATATATATATATATATATATATATATATACAAAATTCCTTAAAGGAATTTTGTATATATATATATATATATATATATACAAAAACGTAAATATTTTTATAAACAAGACATTTTTGGACACCAAAAATGTAAATATTTTTATAAACAAGACAAGTTTTCTAATTTTTAAAACCATTTTTAATAAAAAATAATACATGTTTCGACTAACACTAGTCGTCTTCAGTTAAAATTAATTATTTAAAATTTCTAAAAATACCTATAAAAGTTTTAAAAAAAAACATTACAAAATATAATCATTCTTGTACAAACTAATAAATATATATTTGCAAAAATGCAATAAAATCAGCTAAAAAGTTTATCATGTCGTACAAAAGAAATAGGAAATGACAAAAGAATAGACGCAATATGTATAAAAAAACGAGCAGCTAAACAAAAAATGTCATTTGTACCTGTTTATTCATACCAGGTTTTAATCATTCTATAAACATACTTTCTTCAAGTTTTAGCTCAAGCTTGTTAGATGCCGAAACTAACACAGAAAAACACATCATTTACTTGCATGAAACAATATTCATTACCATGGAGATGTTTATAAATGTGAGACTTTTAGTCCCTCTTGTAATGTTTAGATATCCGGGTCTTGAGATGGCGAGTAGTTTCGTCTATATAACAGGAGTTACATCCTGTACATAAGAATATCTTTTAGCAACTGAATTCAGTCTTTTTTCAGTTAAATCAGATATTTTTCCCAAAAACGGCAGTTTAAAATAAGACAAAAATTTTTTGATTTTTGATGTGGTGGAAGATTTGAATTAATCTTGTTTATTGCAGCCTTGGCGCAGTGGTAGCGCACTTGCCTCAGAAACGTAAGATCTGTGGTTCAAACCCCACCTTTAGGCAAGTTTTGCGACATCGGTTGGGAAGGAGGCGTGAACTTCCCATTAAATGCTCTTCCGCGGTGCTCTGTGATAAGACCGTAAGGACTTCTTGGGGCACCTTAATCAACTTAAAAAAAAAAAAAAAAAAAATAGGAGTGATATATTTTTGAAATGAGCCAAAATGGGTACGTCTTATATATTTTTGAAATGAGCCAATGGGTAGAGTTATATATTTTTGAAATGAGCCAAGATGGGTTTCTTTAAAATACTTTAAAAAAATCGTTTATGTCAGAGTGAAACCGAAGTTTAGTACTAATTTAGTACTATTGTACTATTGATTAAGCATTTGATTAGACTAACTCTGTACGAAAATGGAGTGAAACTATAAAAATTGCCGGGGATAGTGCAAAACCACGCAACTAGCATTGAATAATACCGCGTATCTACAGTACATTTTTTTTACTGGAAAAGTTTAAAACTTTATATATTTTTATTTTAACTGATTTTGGGTTCATTTTAGTATAAAGAGTATTATTCATGTTTTTTGTAATCTCAACAATAAATATTTGGTGTTAAAATTAATAATATCCAAATATAGTAGCCAATGCTAGTTACGCAAATTTGCACTTTCCCCGACATATATATATATATATATATATATATATATATATATATATATATATATATATATATATATATATATATATATATATATATATATATATATATATATATATATATATATATATATATATATATATATATATATATATATATATATATATATATATATATATATATATATATATATATATATATATATATATATATATATATATATGAAGAGTTTATTTTCAAAACGCGGTAAACGCCATTTTCAAAATTTTTGAGAAATTGTGTGGTTTATTTTTAGTTTATAAGGACCTAGCAGACATTGTGTCCGAATATATGCTAAACGAAGTATAACCCAATATTTTTTTACTTCTAAAAAACATTTATTTTCAAAACGCGGTATAAAATTTTTTATTTGTTTTCAAAATGCGGTATTTAATTTTGACCAATCCGTGGCAAATGTATATTACTTCTGCGCAAGCGCAAATATTTTAAAGTTGCGTTAAAGAAATGGCGGATTGTGATGGACAAGATTAATGCGTTACCTAATATCCTATCTCACATAGAAAAAAAGATATAATGTATGAAACAAAAAAAAGAAAAGCATTTCTTAATTCTAGTGTTCGTTTAAACTACCATGCTTTGTTTGTTTACCTGAACGAATTATGGAATAATGATAGAAAATATATTAAAAAGGCAACTTAAATTATTAAGTTTAAACATATTGTTACCTGTTTTTTAATGGAAAGCATTCAATAATAATACTTCTTTTTTATTTTTTGTTAAACCGACAATTACTTTGTTGCAAATAAAATGAGGCTATTGCAGTCTTTCATTTTTAAAATTTTATTTCGTTCAAAAATATAACGATGACTTTTATGTTATATTAATTGTCCATTAGTTCTATGGAGACTTAAAAATAGTGATCATCATTGTTACAACTACACAACACTAAAAAAATATTATTGTTTATTGTCCATATTTAACTCTCCGAAACAAATATAAATTTACAATTGCGAATTAATAGTTTACATTACTTTAATAAAACATTGTTTACATTCACATTATCAATAAAATATAATGACCAAACATTAAATACACATATTTGTTCAATATGTTAAATAAAATTAATCATTAAAACTTATTCAGGTCTTTTAAAGTTTAAAAACTTTCCATAACATCTTTATAAAATGTATATACCGCATTTTGCTAACAAGCTTTAATTGAATATACGGTATTTTGAAAATAAATGCAAACTTATTGACAAAAAAAATAAAATTTTCTCTTAAATAATATTTTATTTTTTTACATTATATAATATACTTTTTGTATATATACATTAAGAAACAATAATTTTTCCAAATAAACGAGACATGTTGGTGTGGCGAAAAAAGTCAATTATCTCAATACCACAAAAATGGATATACCGCATTTTGAAAATGCACTCTTCATATATATATATATATATATATATATATATATATATATATATATATATATATATATATATATATATATATATATATATATATATATATATATATATATATATATATATATATATATATATGTGTATATATATATATATATATATATATATATATATGTATGTATGTATGTGTGTGTGTGTATATGTGTGTGCGTGTCTATGTAAGTATATACCTTAAAATTTAATTTTAAGATTAGTTCTTTTTTTCAATTCTAGTCATCAAAGTTACAAGAAGGAAGGAGGAAGTAAAGAATAAAGCGCTGAAATTTATACTTTACATGGTTTAGGCATTTACAATCCAAATATGTCACGACGTGATGGCATATCAAAGTACTGTGTGCAACAAACAATTAAATAAAAAGAAGAAACTGGATTGCTTTACAACAGCAAACGATCTGAAAGACCTCGTTCCATCACAAGAAAGGAAGACTGGTTCGTAGTTTTGAATTCTGAGGGGAATTGTCGAAAACAGGATCAGAACGCGCCACTGATTTTAAAGAACACCTGGTAACAGAAATCAGGAATTTTATTATTTGTAATTTATTTATAGTTTACACATATGGTTGTTAAATTGATAGCTCTATAATTGGCTAATTAAAATCAATTAACAATTATGCTTCAAAAATAAATATAGTCATAAATATAAATTTTAAAATAACCAATAAACACATTAATAACAATAAATAAATAAATAAATAAAGAGAAGCCAACTAGAGAGGCAAAAACCAACAAAAATTTAAGATTTCATTTTACTTTAGCATATTAATTATCGACATCTTTAATAAAAAACATGCATAGTTTGCTTGGGAATCCAGTTTTTTATTTTAAGTTTAAATTCCTTCAAAGATAATGATGTTTTATAATCATTCGGGATTAGTTTCCAAGTTTTTGGTCCTAGGTAAGAAATAGATTCCAATTCACATTTTGTTGTACGAATATTGGTGGAGTTTGGCTTTTCATATGTTAAATTTGATTTTAGAAGCTTAAAAACTTCATTCGTAGATATAGACGCAATTTGCAATTTTACTTTGACAATCTCAGTCACTAAACAATGCAGGTTTTTTTGAAAATCTCAGTCATTAAACAGGTTTTTTTGGTGTATAGTTAAAGTAACGCTGTTTAATAAGAGAATTTCAAATGAAGATTTATAGTCCTTGTAGATAATTTTTAAAGCTCTCTCATAGATTCAATTTATATAATTATTTTTTTACTGTGAAACATCCATATAAGTGGGCAGTATAAGAAGTTTGAAGTTATCATTGCAGAAAGTATAAGTTTATGTTGGTATACAATGCGATTCTTGAAAGCGCGTTTACTTTTCTGCTGGCATATTTGCATAAAGTGTTCACATGCTCTTCGAAGGAAAAAAAAAAAATTACATATAAAAGTGTTAAAAGGGACGTCCGGTACATTAGGTAGGAAGACATAAACATTAAACTGTTTTAACTAAAACCACAGGCATCAGGTTTGGCGATTAGGAAAGCATCGAGTATGAAATCAAAGGCTTTAGAAAGATCAGTAAGTAATGCGCTAAAGCATTCGTTGTGATTTAACTTTTTTTTCCATTTTTCGGTCATTGCAATCAAACATAGTTGAGCTAAATCCTCATAATTACATTTTTCATATACTTTAGGTATGTTAAATAGAATACTGATTGGCCTGTAGTTGCTTTTATCTGCTTTGGAACCTTTTCTGTGTATTGAAATAATATCAGCGTTTTTTAATAAGTCTGTAAAAATGTTGTTTGAAATAGCGTACACTCTTAAAAAAGTTCCGGTAAAATTTACACGAACTGTTCAGGCGATTTTTTACGCCTGTAACTTCAGGCGAAACAACTGAATGTTCGATCGATGCGTTCTGACGATGTCTTTTGCCTGAACAGTTCAGGATTAGTTTAGATCAACAGTTACAGTTATTATAAATTATTCCTAAACTTTAGACAAACTGCACGAACCTGTAAAAACCGGAACTTTTAATCTTAATTTTTTGCTTTTTAAAAGAATGTGCTCGGTAATGATAAAAAATTTAAACACTCATGAGTTGATTAATCATTTGATTTCAAAAAGAATTTCTGTGGAAACAACTGCTAAATTGTCAAGTAAGTATTTACTACATAAAAATTTAGTTTTAAACATTAATGCATAAACCATAGATATATAAATTATATATCTATGCATAAAACAAATTTAACTAGTTGAAATAACTTTAAAAAATGTTATCTTTCATAAACTTACTGTTTAAAGGTGAAGATATTGACGGAGATGCATTTTTGCAAATGAACTCTGTTTTGTTTCATTGTATTGGAATAAAAATGGGTCAAGCTATAAAGCTTCAGTCTATCATTGCAGCAGAAAAGGTGAATTTAATATTATAATGTACTTTTTTTTTAGGATGTCAATGTGTTGTTACCTTTGCCCCAAAGATTTTTCAACTGTTGCTTTTTACATAAATCACTTGAGGAACTTTCATCTTTTGTTTGAGCCTTGTCAACTTCGTTGTAATGTTGATGGTTGTATAAGATTGTTTACTACATACAATATGCTTAGAAAACATATAAATAAAGATCATGCCAGTTTTGTAGTTAATATTGCTCGATTATTTAGCATAAGTTGTGAAAATCCAGTAACACCTACTTCTGAAGCTAAAAGTGAAATTAAAATAGACAAAGAATGTGAGATAAAAATTGATGGCGTTGCCTCACCTATTGTTGATGAGTATGGCATATCACAAGCAGCATTAAAATTTATTATGGCTTTAATGTCTTCGAGTTCTATTCCTCTAAGTACTTCAGAGTTTGTTAAGAGTTGTTCACAAAACCTAATTGAAGACATACTTAGTTATTTACTATGTAAAACAATTGCTATACTGAAAACATATAGGTGTGAGAAACATGTAATTGACAATTTAACAGAAGAGTTTAACAGATGGAAAACACCTTTTAGTGGAATTGATTCACAACATCGAATATTATCATATTTGAAAAATAAAGGCCTATATATTGAACCAGTACCACATTCAATGGGTGAACGATGGGATACAAAACGTGACAGAAAGACTAAAAGGCAAATCCAAGTCAAAGTAAAAGATTTGTTTTATCACATACCTATTGAAAGCACAATAAAGCTTGTGTTGCGACAGCCAGAAGCCGTGAAAATGTTAAAAGTGGAGCAAATATCTAATTTAGAATTTGTTGAAGATTGGTTTTGTAGTGAAAATGGAAAAAAATTAATGGCATATGCCAAATTAAAATTTCCGAAAAGTTTCCCTTTGTTTATTCAAATTTACTTCGATGAAGTAGAGACCACAAATCCTCTTGGATCAAAAACAGGCATTCATAAACTTGGTGCCTTTTATTTTGTGATAAAGAACTTTCCTCATGCAGCAAACTCAGCCTTGAACAACATTCATATGTTAGCATTAACTCACGCAATAGACATAAAGAAAAATTCAGCAAAACCAGTGATAAAAGTGATTGTAAATGAATTGCAAAAACTTCATGACGAAGGATTTGATATTTTTATTGAAGGCAAAAAAACTAACTTTAGATGTTTACTAACCCAAATTGTTGGAGACAATTTAGGTCTGCACTCTATATTAGGATATATGGAAAATTTTAGTACTGTTTCTTTTCCATGTGACATGTGCATGATATCACAAGTTGACATACAGCATGTTTTTAAAGAAGAAAAACAAGCTCTCAGAACAGACATTTTATACAACTCTCAAGTTCATCAGATGCAAAGAGGCAAAATTTCTAATAAGAACTGTGGAATTAAGCGGTTTACTTGTTTAACTGAATTGCCATATTATCATCCTGCTTCGAATGATTCTGCAGACATAATGCATGATATTTTTGAAGGAGTTATTCCGTGCGAAGTTAAATTGTTTCTTTATCATGTGTTGTATGATGTCAAATGTATCTCCATTACAGAACTGAATAGGCGAATCAAGTTTATGGATTATGGTATTGTCTGCAGCTCAAAACCTAGTACTATTAATGAGTCGCGTATGAAAAGTACTGACTCTTTACTAGGTCAACGCTCTGCTCAGATGCTTACACTGTTTATGTATTTGCCACTTATTTTGTCTGATGTTATTGATAAAGTAGATACACAAAAGTGGAAACTTTACCAAATCTTAAAGCAATTGTGTGATATAATCTTATCTCCAAATTTAAATTGTTTACAAGTCACGTATATTGAGGAATTAGTAATGGAACATCATTCATTGATGAAAGAATGTTATCCTGAGAAAAAACTTCTTTATAAGCATCACTGAATGATTCATTATGGAACTATTATAAAACGAAGTGGGCCTCTTCTTCACATGATTGTTATAAGGTATGAAGCCAAGCATAATTTTTCAAAAAGATTAGCTCATATTGTTTGCAATTTTCAGAACATTTCTTATTCAATTGCAAAAAGACATCAAATTGCTCATGCTTTAGCGTGGATGACTCATGGTCCCCTAAAAATCATTACTGATGTAAAAAATAGTGCAATGTTTTTAGTTTCAGAATTAAAGAACAAAAATCTTATTATTCCCTTTATTGGTGAAGAAAGTGAGGTTTTAGCTGTTGATTGTGTTACGGTTTTAGGTCAGAAATTCAGATCAAGTGAAATAATTCTTTATGATTTTAATAGTGATGGTGAACCAAGTTTTGCTCACATTGACCAGATTTTTGTTCATTGCGAAGTTGTGTATTTTTTCACAACAAAGTGGATTGTCCACAAATACTGCAGTCTATCTTTATCTTACTGTTGTTTACTAGATAACCAAAAACTATGTATAAGAACATGTGATATAATAGATTACAAACCTCTTAATGCAGTGCGTTGTTTGAAAATAAATTGCCCATTCATGCACATTATCTTGAATCATCAACTATGTCATGATAACTTTCTGTACCTACCCCACAAAAATATCTGGCGATATTGTAAATATTTATTATATGTAACTCAATATTTTATTATAAATTCGGTTGTAAAAATAATCTTTTTATTATAGATATAGTTACATACTGTATATATATATATATATATATATATATATATATATATATATATATATATATATATATATATATATATATATATATATATATATATATATATATATATATATATATATATATATATATACACACAATATATATATATATATCTTTATATATATATATATATATATATATATATATATATATATATATATATATATACACACAATATGTATATATATATCTTTATATATATATATATATATATATATATATATATATATATATATATATATATATATATATATATATATATATATATATATATATATATATATGTATATATATACACACAATATATATATATATATCTTTATATATATATATATATATATATATATATATATATATATATATATATATATATATATACACACAATATGTATATATATATCTTTATATATATATATATATATATATATATATATATATATATATATATATATATATATATATATATATATATATATATATATATATATATATGTATATATATATATATATATATATATATATATATATATATATATATATATATATATATATATATATATATATATATATATATATATATATATATATATATATATATATATATATTAGGGCTATTCAGTATGCTAATTTGTTTTCAGAACATAGCTAATTGAAGTTTTTCCCATTCAACTATCATATTGTGTATTGTGGTTCAAAAATATTTTTTACTAAATTTTATTATTTGCCCTAAAGGTGCCTCAAAGCCACTAAACATTTGACAGGTTCCTAATATTATAAAAAAAAAAATATTTAAAAATATGTCAACTTGGTACTCAAAAAAAGCAAAATTTTATAAAAATTTTAAAAATTAGATTCATTTTTTATAAAAAAGAACTTAAAAAAATTTATCATTAAAAATGTTGTGAATATTACCTTTTTTTCATTTTTCGTTTAAAAACCATAGTTTTTATTCAAAAAAACCTAATATTGTTTTTTTTATAAAAAATACTTTTTGTTTTTGAAATTTTTAAATGATTTTGCTTCTTTTGAGTACCAAGTTGACATATTTTTAGATAATTTTTTTTTCTATAATATTAGGGACCTGTCAAATGTTTAGGGGCTTTGATGGACCTTCAGGGCAAATAATAAAACTTAGTAAAAAATATTTTTGAACCACAATATGATAGTTGAATGGGAAAAACTTCAATTAGCTATGTTCTGAAAACAAATTAGCATACTGAACAGCCCTAATATATATATATATAAAGATATATATAGGTATTTTTAAGAACAATATAGCAATATGTAAGTTTAGATAAATTGAATTGAATTATTTTTTGTGTTTTAGGAACAATCCACAGATTTTGTGCAGACAGTTTACAAACTGATTTCACTGTTGAAAATAATCTTGTTTCACCTAATCAGACTAGTTCTAGTACTAGTTTATCAACTTCCAATCCCTTTTCAGATTCAACACATTCACGTGATAGCGATATTCTTCATACTCCATATCCAGTACTTAGAATAGACAATATCAAATTTGTAAATTTTTTAATATATATAGCTGTATTGCAAAACTATAAGGACTGATTTTAATTTCTAAAAATATATTTCAAAAATTTCTACTTTTTTAGGATGTTCGAAAACTGCTTGATGAGCATCAGACAGGTAAACGTGTCATTGTTGAATATGAGACAACTGGAATGTTAATAAAGTACAGATTTGAAATGGTTCATATCCTTGTTAACATTATGGTAAATAAAGTTGGAAACATGTAAGTTATTACATTGATTTTATATTGATTATAGATTTTACAGTTTGTTCATTTCTGAATATTCAAATGCATAGTTATTAAGTTTTTTAGAACACTTTTTTATAATAATAATATTATATAAAGGCATGAACAGAACATGTAAATGTTAAGTTAATGATTCATGTAACCATGTAGAAAGTCTATTTATTTAACTTACCTATAACATTTGTTAAATATTGTGGTTATTAAATTATTAGGTATTTACTTTAGGTATCCATCAAGAGCAACAAAAACAAATCTTGCTATGCCAATTATTAATGCTTTTCCTAAACTGCACTCTGGTGGACCTCTAGGATATGTTTGTTATTTAACTTTGTTAACTAAAAGTAATTTGTTTGTTTGCTGTTTAAACTGCATTATATTTAATTAAATATTTAGGAAAATTACTATTGCACTTATAAGGAAGTTGAAGTAAATGGCAAAAAAAAGAAAATAACACCTCATGGACATATCGAGGAGCGGCTGAAAACAATTAGGAAGTTTGATGGTGTCCATGCCCAAGCTACACGAAAACGAAAATCCGTTTCTCAAACGACTTTTGATGTTGCAGGTAAGCTAAATGATATTGTAAGTCACGTTTATATATACAACAAATGATGCGTAACTATTTTTTTCAGTTCCTTTTTCAAACGAAGAACGAAACATTATAAGTGAGTTGTCATTTGATGACATTCAGTATGATCGAAAACAATATATTCTTGAAAAAACTAGAGTATCGCGAAGAAACTGGATTCTGTCATCAAAACCACCTTTTCATGAATTTATTCGGAAATTTCCCCCATTTAAAGATTTAGGATTTGATGTAAGCAGTACTGTCTTTTACATTTGTAGTGTATATCCTTATGTCTTGAATTACTGCTGGAATATTGGAGTATTACTATTAACATTATATTATATTAGTATTAAGTATAATACTGTATTAGTATAATACTGGAGTATTACTAGTGTAAAATTGATTTTCTGTTTGAAAAACATTTCATGACTCTTTATAATCATTATATTAGTTTCAAAGAGAGTTTACAGCAACATTTGAAAATGCTAAAGATTTGCTACGCAATGGGAGGATATGGCTCCTCATGTTATTACTTGGGCTCGTAGAAAGGAGAATCCGATGGCAAAGCAACTACTTTTAGAACTTGACAGCCAGCTAATACCTGCAAATCGTATGTCCCATTGTCTCCTTTAATTACTGTTTTCTTTTTTTTTTTTAACTTTTATTAACTATTAAAACTATTATACTATTCTAAAATATGTATATGTATTGTTTGAGTTTTTAAATATTTTTTGAAAATCAAAGATCGATATATGGAGTTTGCATTTCACTTGCTTCCATACATTCTTCAAGTGCCTTCTAGAAATAAGGATCGACCGTCTACAGCTGAAGTTGCAGCTCACTTTATTCAAATCTTTCCTGTAAGTTTAATATTTCTAGCTAAATGATATGTGCTATAAACTAGGTCAATAATATAAAATAGGTCAAGGACACCAGCTTGTATATTGTATCTTAATTATTTTTATTTTTATAAAGGAAACTACAGCTATGGAGACGATAATTGATGCAAATAGACATACCTCTTTCATGCATCCATTTGTTATTGCACTAGGGGCTCGAGGCAATTTGATTCAGTCATTTATTTTTATAGAAGACAATGTTATTCCTATTAGAAATGGCATGTTAAGTGCAGTCGACCGTTTGCTGAAACTATATTTTGTTATCGATATTAAATATGCGAAAGAGTGCAAACATGTTTTACATTTTTTGCAATGTGTAGTTATGGGTATTCATGACGATTTGCCGTTGTCAAGAGGAGGCAGTGATCTTTCGCTGTTTGTTAATGAAAAATTAAGGAGTGGATAAACTTTTAAATGTTTTTATTTTAAAGGGTACGAAAATATATTATATCAAGAAAATATCACGTACTTTATAAACAATCATGTTTGTAATTCTGTTGAAACTTATAATATAAATTATAAAATTGTTTAATTGAATAAACATGAGCTTTTTTTTTTTTAATTGATATTTGCGTTACTGCAATGAACTTAGGGAGAAAAAAATTTATTTTGATTAAACCAAAATATATTCTTTTACATTTTGATCATATATTGGAAATAATTTTTTTCAAACAAAGAATTCTATATAAATATTTAATCTACCAGAACTTTCTCATTATAGGCTACTTTCTAACATGTTTAATTTTTTTTTGTAAAAACCAGTTTAAGTTCAGATTTTGTACCGCGCCAGTTCAGGTTTTTTTTAAGAACAGTTCAGGTTCAGGTGAATTGCCTGAATGTTCGTCTGGCACTTTTTGAAACAAACTAGTTCAGGCGAAACGCCTAAAGTTCGTATAATTTACCGGAACTTTTTCCTGAACTATAGTTCACTTTATCTAACGCGGTTGTTCAGGTTTTTTTAACGAACAGTTCAGGTTCAGGTGAATTACCTGAATGTTCGTCTGGCACTTTTTGAAACAAACTAGTTCAGGCGAAACGCCTGAAAGTTCGTATAATCTACCGGAACTTTTTTAAGAGTGTAGTTATAATCTTTACATTTAAAATCAGAAAAAATAATAATGTTATCTTATTATTATTCTAGTTGGTATATTCCCTTTTTGCTGTGCTTTAGATTTATTTAGTTGAGAAATATGGTTAGATAACATTTTAACGGCTGTACGTTGGAAAAAAAAAACTATTAATTTCTTAATCGCAATTATACTTGGATGTAATTTATATTTAAAAATTGAATTTTCTATGGGGTTATGGATAAGTGTTTCGTTAGTTTCGGTTTGATGCCCAACTGCAATATAGTGTCTTTATAATATGCATTAAAAATATTGGCCACAAGTTTATCATCTGATATTACAGCATCATAGAGCACCGCGGGAGAGCATTTAACAGGAAGTTCACGCCTCCTTCCGTACCAATGTCGCTTGTTGGGCTGAAGCTGGCGTCGATCCCCGGACCTCTGGGTTCTGAGCCAGAACTCTAACCACTGCGCCACGGCTGCTCACTTTACACCAAAACAATTTTTTCATGAAGGTGTGAGTTCTCCTTAAAACATGGTTTCATTGTTTTCCAAAAGGTTTTATTGTCGGTAACATTTTTAGTTTAAAGATTTTCAAAAAATAACTT